TTTATCTACTCGTGCATCTTAAAGCATAATTCAGCATGAATGTTCCTGCCGAGGTCTGAGCGCCAAAGACTATACTTTCTATCAATAAATTCTTCTAATTATCTTTTCTCTCTGTGTGAGTTTTTCAGATTGAAATGACAGTATCATTAGAAAATTAAGACAAGAAAAAAGATAAGAGTCTAAAAAAAACAAAGAAGAAAGTATAAAGCTCCATGACAAATTTTAAACACCACAATTTTTACATAGCCTTCTTTTTTTCGATTTGAAGTGCTTAACTGTAAGGAGCAAATGTAATTATAAAATAATGTTTGATTTATTTTGTGGGGCGATTAAAGTACAAACAGTTTCTTTATAAGCTGACTGAGGGGTTGGAAAGATGGAATGGAAACAGAAAGTATTATGTAAGAGGGAACCTATTTAGAGAATCATTTTGAATAACATTTTAATCTAAATCTAAAAAAAAAAAAAACTTTAAAGCTTTTATTAAATGTAAGAATTGGTGGCCATGGAGCTTAAGCTGTTGAACTCTTGAAATTCTTGTCAATTTAAATAAAGTAATTAACATAGATGATTTAAGAAGCCCGCCATTTTGTCCCATGGCAAGATAGTTTCTCGAAGTTAGAGAATACCTTTTAGAAGGTGGAATGGGCAGAAAATTATATATTTGTTTCAAAATAAAATCATTAAATGTGTCACTGCCACCATTATCTCCCATTTTTGAATTTCACATTTGATACAATGTTAGATGGTTAATGTTATTATTTTGGCTGCTCCAAACTCTGGAGTCACCTGTTTACAGAACATTTCTCCATGGCTACACGGTCCAGTGGATCCACACCGCAACATCCAACACTTTGCATTGCACTTTGACATTTAGCACATGGAACAGCTACTTGGCCATGGAAACACATCAGATAAAGCTTGCTATGCTCTGGTCTTGAGCTGTTTTCAAAGGTGCATGATATTTAGATATATATGAGTCTTGCAACAAGCACATTGGTCTCTTTTAGCTATGCCTTTCAGCATCCATTGACCACGCTCTGTGATTTAACATGGCCGATCATTTCCTGACTCTATTAACAGCTGACTCTTTGTGGTATTGCAATAAAGTGGTGCTGGTGAGGAAATGACAGGACTGAACTTATCGCACAAGTGGTGTCCTATCGTAGTACCACAGTGGAATGCATGAAGCCCCTGTGGACAACCCAATTCACAACTCTTTGTAGAGGCTCTCTGGATGCCCACTTGTTGGATATTATAGACCTGTGGCCATGAAATTAGTTGAAACACTTTAATGCAATAGTTTAGAGCAGAGTTCTTCACAAACCCCTACAGGGTGAGAGCTCATGAAATTCTGGTGGGATAAATTGCTAATCGTGTTACGTCTACACATCTACACAGTTACTAAAAGTCTGCATTAAAGCCTAATGACTGCAGAGTTCTTCATGAATTATTTTGTTGTATATCTTATGGGTAAAAATTAGATTGAAAACCCTCTTTGCTGAACAGGTTAAATCTTTGCTTACAGAAACTCAGCCACCCTACTGTTATCAACACTCTTGTCAGCACCCCTTAAAACTGACTGTTTAGACACTCTGGCTCTTTTAAATTTATCTTTATGATTTTCAATTTGAGGGATGAACCAATGCCTTTTGGTATTGAATGCAATATGGAGCAGTTCATTGCGTTAAATAAAGCCTCTTGACCTAATCCCTTTCTTTGGTCTTACCCTGAGAAAAACCTTTGGAGTTATAGTGGAGGATGTTCTTTTTCCGGGTGGATCATCAAAATAAGTGGTCCTCCTAACTATCGATCACGATATGTTTATGTAAGCCCGTTCTACGTGCTCGTCCCCATTTTCACTTACCGGTGGTGAGTCTGACATAGTGGAAAAATTGCAAATCTTCAGTTGTAAAGTAAGCCTGTATGAGCAATGCAAACAGCAACTTTTTAGAGCGTGCACGAGGATAAATGGGCTTGGCAATGCTCTCGCACCCATTTAATAGCCTTTCCCTCGTATGAGTGGGTACATGGTTGTGCATGTGCATTTTTGTGGAGAGGGCGGATCTTTTCAAAAATTCCCAAAGATCCTCCACTATACCTTTAACTTAACCATTACCAGGACATACTTAACCCTTACTTAAAACTAAATTCAATTCCCACCTTAGCCCTAAATCTAACCCCTGGCAAACTAGCTTGTGAGGACCAGAAACATTTCCTAACAAATGTCTTTGATCATAACTGGACCTCACTTTGCTGGTAGAGTAAGAACAATGGATCTCATTTAGATGGCCAAACCGGAAACACGGATACTCTCTCATTCGTAGAGGAGTACAGGGCATTCAAGGACAAGCTCTGTGCAGCCTGAATAATAGAGAGATTACTGGGGGTTGTCATGGTGTTAGGGTAGGAGGGAGGGCTCTTTAAACTGCACCAAAGGCTGGCTTGAGTCAGCAGAGCAAGAAGCAGGAGGAGAAAAGAGCAAACAAGCTGCCTGACTTACAGAAGCAAAGTATTCCCCATGTACATCAAATTTTGGCGCAGCTATTTTAAGGATGAAAAAGAGAAACCGGATGAAGGCTCACTATCGGTTGAGCTGGAGGGGGAAAAAGGTAGAGCAGGAGTCTTTTTTTTTTGGTCCTGATGGTGGTCTTTGTAGTGCTCACTGACATTTGGTTTTCCTCTCCAGGCAAACAGGCTGAGAGGAATGCAGGACTGTACCGTCTGCCGTGTTTAATCCTCTCAGTTGTCTGTCTCATTCTTCTCATACTGGTCTGCATACTTGGTGTGAAACGTGAGTACACGACACCATGTATCTGCAACAAACGCGCATCTGAATCCTTTTCTTCTAGATTTAAAGCAGATAATTTGAGTTTTACAGACAGTCAAAACCTTGCAGGGTTTGTGAAGCAACATTTCATTCCTTTGATCCAGCTTTTGGTGATAATAATAAATCCCCCATGCAGAATGTTGCAAGCTGCAGAGATGCAGCTTGAGGGCATTATTCTTGCTCTTACAAGCCTGCCCACTGTGCTCTGTTTTGTAGTCCAAAATACAACCACAGTCTGCCCAGGAAATGGCAGATCTGAAGACCAACAGTGTCCTGATCCAGCATGCAGCATTGAGGAATGCCAGGACCGCTACCAAAACATTCCGTTCAAGCGTAAGGAGGAATATTTTCTGCATTGTTTACAATTGTTTTGGAGAACGTTTTTTATGTTTCAAGATAATCTTCTCAATTAAAATCTTAAAACAATGCTTTTTTTTAAAGGCAAAGTAATTAAGTTATTTGTAGCTGCGTAGGGGTCCATACCTGAATCACTTCTTAGTTCTTTATTTTTTGTCTATTTTTAATTTTAAACATTCAAAGCAGCCATTCAAGTTTTTGTTTTTCTTTTCACTTTTTCCTCCTGACCATGAAAGCAGAATGCCCCTGACAAAAAGGGTAAATGAGACAAGTGAAGGACACAGTCTCAAACCTTAAAAAAAAAAACATCTGAAATAGATAAACAATATCTAAAAATCCTTTTGAGCTGCTTCTACAACCACAATCACCATTCTGTACTTTTGCAGATAGCAATGCTGTGGGAGCCTTTCTGTCATCAGACATTTAGTAATTTTGGGTAATTTTTGGACAAACTTTGACAGTTTATCACTTAACTTTCAATAATTAAATCCAGGTTTTTCAGATTTTTATCAACTGAGACTATGAACAAGCATACTATAATATGGTCAAATACACACTATACAGCGCCACAGGAGAACCACAAATATAATGAATTGGTAAAAGCAGCTCTTCCTATGCTGAAGTTCTTCAAAGGTTCTATAAGATCTTGAGGACATCAGTTATCCACAGTCTTCTTAAGGTGATCAGATTTTCTGTCAAATTTACTTTCCGACTTTATTTATATTAATATTCAGAATTCATTCATATTTAGAATTCCATCCACCCATGCAAAAACCCATACTAGAAGAGAATTGACAGCCACCATAATGTCACCACTTCCTTTTTTCTCAGGGAAATGTCAATCTTTTTGGTGATGTTGCATTGTTATTTCTTTGCACACATAGATATTTAAATATTTATTTGCTAACTTTTCTTTTGCATTTATAGATACAGTATATGACTTATAAGCATAAAATATTTGGAAAGGGAAATCCTGCTAAACATCAAGGCTTATAGAAACATTTCTGAAAGTTCTGAGGATCATGAAAATCTATATCTTCACATATGTACTACCATATTATTTTGTTATTATTTTTGGTAAACGTTTTTAAGCTTTGCAGCTGTCTTTAACTTACCTGCCTTGTCTTATCTTGTAGATTTTGGCTGCCAGCAGTGTGCTACAGGGTGGCTCACCTATGGCAGGTCCTGTTTTTTTCTTTCCACCACCAGACTGACCTGGCTTGAGAGTCAGAAGAACTGCAGCGCCAGTGGAGGGTCTCTGGCTATTGTTACCAACAAGAATGTTCAGGTGAATCCCCCATAATTAACACTGCAAGCAGTTTGTTTGTTATCATTTACACAGTGCAAATCAGCCCTTTTTTCCTCTTTTGCTCTAGAAATTTCTTACACAGAAAGGGAATCTGAAGTACTGGATTGGACTGAGGCTTCATAACGCCACATGGAACTGGGTCAACAGTAATGCGCTGCAGCAGAGGTGATTTTGTGGAATATCTTAGACCGCAAATCCTTCCTTCCTAGCATATGTGGAAAAGTAAAAGAACAGTAACACCTCAGAACAAAGTTCCCCTTTCAGCTTTGGTTCTATTTCACATTTGTTCTCAAAGAGAGCCACAACACAATATATTACTTCCCCCCCCCAAAAAAAAATAATCTTCATATTCCTTCAGTTTAATCATTAACATTCATTTTTCCTATGTTGGCAGTTATTGGATGGACCCTGTACAAAACGAAGATTGTGCCTATCTCTACAGTGATGGTCCAGTTGAGAAGAACTGGGGCAGGGCTTCCTGTTTGGCTTCAGCCTACTTCATCTGTCAGCTGCAATTCTGAAGGAAATTGGGTTTCATCAAAGATCCTCTCCTCAGTAGGCAGATAATCGCTTTAGTTTGCATGACATACTCCAATCATATCCATTGCTTCTTAGACAGTGTAAATATTACATTTAAGGCCTGAATTTAATGTATGACATCACATTATATTTACTACTGAGTTTTATGGTTTGTACATCAGTATATTTGCTTTTACCAGCTTTAATTTAGATATTTTAATATTTTGTACTACAAATAAATGTCCTGCTGACTCATAAATGAATGTTGGTAATTTTATTTTAACAATCTTTTATTCTCGTATAAAAAATTATTTCTCTTATGACAGGTGGATCTTTCATTATATTTTATGCTGCATATATTGCTGCTACATATATTCTTATAATATATATTTGCAATAAAAATAACATGCTTCTCTATTGCTTAATACTGCAGGAATAATTGCACAGTTTACTACAAAGAAAAACATAAAAGAGATAAATGTTCAAGTCCATTTCTTCAAACAGCTTAGATTTTGATCAGGTAGAATCTCTTTTCAAACGTATCTGATGTCCTGCATCTCCCCTGGCTCCTCTTGCTCCATCTCCAAACCTAAAGCGCTGTTACGAATCATCTCCCAACCTGCCTGTGCCTTCCTGTTGCCATATCCTCTGTTTTTGGGTCGAAGCATTGGGGTTTCCTTCATTGTGTCTGACTTTTCATTCCCCTCCTTTTCATCCAGACTGGAGAAGACCTTGACGTAACGTCGCATTTTTTGCATCATTGGATCATTTCTATCTTCAACCCTGCAGAACAGAAACATCATTAAATGATATCCTGCAATATCAATCAGAATACACTCTGCATTGGAGATCACATTTTCAATATAAAAATATAAAAAAATCATTCTAATTTGAACCCCTTTCAATAGTTTGACTCTTCTTTAATGCTCAACTTCTCCAAGTCTGTTCAAAGTGGCTGTTCACAATGAACAAAAAATTTTCTCACTGTTGAAAGGGAATTTTCTTTTTACTCGATGCATGCTTCATTTTATGGGTTGCTGCAACGTCAATAAGACACTGCAAGCAACGGTGTACTGTTGATGCAATCTGCTTTGAATAATAACCCAAACTCGGCTGCAGTATTCAAAAACTCTGATAAATTTGGGATATATGTAGTTTACTTGGAAACTGTCTTTATGGTTTGACTGACAGAGTTCCTATCGCAGCAAATGTGAATGTCAACAGGAAAAACGATAAGACTGCTAAACATTATTGGACTCTCCTCTCGTCTCTGCTGGTGATTTAATGCCATTATTCTATAATATAAGCCAGCGCAATGGGACGCATCCATTACAAAGGCTCCTTAAACTTGGTACTGATAATTACCCAGAAATCCTAACTGAGTTAGTTTCATTGGACTGAATTTTTCTATATAATTTAAACCAGTAATAACTTTAAAAATAGGACAAGATGTGAAAAATTATTTTGAATTTGTTGACAAGTTTGAGCTTTACTATTAAAAGTTGTGTTAGCTGCAGTGCTTCAGTAAGCAGAAATATTAAACAACATTATAAAAGTTGTATGTTTTCCTTTTTTAGCAAGAAAAAATAGGAAAAAAATAAATAGGAAATAAATGAAAAGATAACCTTCAAGACTCTTTCTATCCCTCAGGAATGTCATATCTATCTAGAGCATGTGGTTTGGGTATGTCTTGTCGAAAACAAACAAACAAATAAACAAGGCCTTATTTTAAAAATTCTGAAATCTGAAAATTCTGGTTCATATGTCAAATAAATCAACAAAAATGCAGGGACATACCGATTCTCTGTAATTTTCATGCAAACTTTCTGGAAACCAAAGGATTTTTTTAAATCCTACATGAATTCATGGTGTATATTTTCCTTTTTAAATTTTAATAAAGTTCGATATTCTTAATTTTTCCTCCTAAACAGAAACTCTTGTATTTAGGCAGAGATTCAAATATAAATAAAAAAAATACCAAAAATATATTGTTGAATTTATGAAACCCATTATTAGAGATCTCAGTATAATAAAATATACATCAGGTTTCCTTATCAAATAAATAAAAGCCCATGTAGAAATTTTCAATGTTTGTTTTATTCAAATGCTACAATGACGTTTCTGTCTTTTGTCTCATTCACAATAATTACTAGAACTAATTATTTTTTTCTAAGCCAACATTATTTATTATACTTGGATTTTAAAGAAACAGCAACACAAAATACATTATTGTGAGGCAGAAAAAAAAAACAAAATATGGTTTTGAAAGGTAAACCTACCTCTGCAATAAAAGCCGCTATTATTTTCAAACATGTGAATAGAATCACATCTATAGTCTGATTTAATATTATTATTATTATTTGTCTGTGAAAAATTGCTTAAGCTCAGTTGGACTGAGTGGAAAGCGCCTGCAAACTGCATTGTTTCAGGTTTTGCAATCGATTTGTGGGGTTGTTGGATGCTTTTATCTGCATCATTCCTTGGAGCTCTGGACATATTCTTTAAGGGTCGTTGACCTGCTAGAGGGTAAACACCCATCCCTTTGTTTGGTCTTAGGCAGATTCTAACAGATTTTTATCTGGAATTGCTGTAGCACCACATTTCATATAGGGACGCTATACATGATGATATATCTAGTTTGCTTTCGACCACATGCTGTTTTGCTTTAGAAGGCTAGAAAGTTAAATTCTGGTCTCATCTGAATCAAAGATGTTTACAGAGTTTCATATGTGGTTTGTTAGGAGAACGACTTTCCCTTGGCTACTCTTTCACAGATCTTATAGCCATCATTAAAAATTATAAACACTGTACTGAATAAAGATCTGTTTGTAGATTTTTTTTTTTTTATTCCTTTTTTTTTTTTAAATGGTCCATACCAGGTCTTTTACCTTTATAGCCCATTGACCTTCATAATCTGCATTTGAGATCTGAGTCTCAGCTGGCCGGACCACATTCTCTTACCTGAGATACCAGCGCTCCTTCAGGCCGAAGCTGAGCCCACACACGCCTAGCCGAGGCCACAAACAGCGGGGAAGCCTCCTCTCCAGCATCAGAGTCGTGGCTACAACCTGCACAACAAACACCCCCGCTGTAACAATGACACAGCAGTGTTGAATCAAAGCTGACAGGGTGATGACATGCAAGCACGCAACAGCTACCTGAGTCCTCCAGAGCTCGTCTCTCTCTTGGGCCACCCTCCAGTGTGTGTCGCTCATCATGGCAATCAGCAGGTTAAGCAGCAGGATGTAAGACACAACTGAGAAGCTGGCATGTAGCACATGGACGATGGGGGGTGTTATGAAGGTGTGATCCACAGGCAAGTCAATCAGGCCTACACTGAGCTCAAACTGGGAGAAGAGGGTGATGGGGAAGGAGTTGTATGCAGGGAGGGAATTGGGATCTTGGGTCATGTACACTATCCAAAGAGCTAAGAGAAGGGTTAGAAAAACCATTAGGTGAAAAAAATATATAGAAATATTTTTAAAACCTTTCAAACAGCCAAGAATAAATACTTACAGGTGGAAAAGCCTATGAGCACAATGAAACTCAGCCACATAAACTTTGTCAGGTCTCCAAATATAATCTAAGAGGAAATGAGAGCAAGTGTAAGAAAAAAACTTTTTCTTTTCATATTGCAACAGTATTGCATTGTCAATATCTCTTATATGTTAAGTTCTGCAAATTAAAATATGAAAATCCAAAATGATAAAATCATAAGATGCTTTTTTTGGGGGCTTGCCAAATGATAATAAACTGGATTCAGGTGTGGACTTTGACTTGGCCAATCAAAGACATGAATATACTTTGATTCACACATTCCCTTAGAGTTTTTTTTTTCTGTGTATTTAAGTCATTTGCAGCTTTTTCTAAAGATTTTCTCATAAAATTTGTTTCATCATCATGACTAATGAGCTTTTATGTTTGAGCAGATGAGGTTTAAGAAACACAACCAAATAACTGAAATTTTTCTCTCACCTTCTGTATCATGATGACGTACGGACCGAGCATTTCAAACCCGCGAGCGAAGAACATGACGTTGCACCAGCCAAGAACCAGACACAGCGCCATAACCTCGGCCTCCCCCTGCACTTCGCAGGTTCTGAACACACACAGCAGCACCACCAAGCAAGCATAGCTTATTCTGGAAAAAAAAAGCAGCAACAGAAACATTAGACAATATTCATATAAGTTATGTTTTTGTGTCTCACTGTAAAAGTTTTTATAATTACAATATAACATGGAAAGGTCCTCCTAGTGCTGTCTGGCCAAAGTAACGCTTGGCTCCAACTCTCAGTATATCAGGAATCTGTTGGTAAAATGACGTCGGTGAGGATATTTTTGTTAATAGACACAACTGTTGCATAAAAGCATAAAGATAGAACATGAGTCATGCGCTAACCTCCAGCACCAGGATGAGTAAAGCTCCCAGGACGCTGATGACCTCTCCGGCCAGCCGTACACTGTCCCCATAAGTCACATAACTGTCCTGAAGCAGGGACAGGAAAATACACTCTTCTGATTAACTGAATAGTTGAGAGATCCAAGTGAAATATTTGGAGAAAAGGGGAACATAATATGGTGCCCTCATACCAATTCATTAACATCTTGATCTGATTCACATATTTAGAGCAACCTGAATACACATGCATGAAAATGTAATGGAACAATTTATTTATTACACACAGAGACTAATATTCAGTTCTCAAAATATATATTTTAACAACAGCTCAATGAATAAAAAAAAAAATATATATATATATATAAAAGAAACACCCTAGGTAATATTTATCATATTTGGATTTTTAGGGGTTATAGCTAATTGTGAAATGTTTGCACTTTTTAAAACAAGACCAGTTATTATAAAATGTAGGATTTTTTTTTCTTTACAGAATAACCATAATTTCAGTTCCCTTATTTGGGGGTTTTCATACACAAGTCATTTAACAGAAATTTTACACTGGAAACCCCTCCTGATATACTTAATCAAAATGTACTTAAAACATTTTGAGAGATTATGGAAACCAGTTAATCCATTTTAAAACTGTTACCGACATTCTATGAGCAAGCTAAATGAACAGAAGGTAATTTTGTTTAAA